CCTGCATCTGACCTCAAAGTGCACAAGCTTCAAACTTCAGCGTTGGCTGCGATTTTGAAGCTGAAATCGCGTTCGGTGTGAACGCAGCATAACACAATCAGTCTTTTGTTTGTTGTTCCTGTAAAATACAGTATAGATTCCTTGGCATGTAGGCGCAACTTTGCAAACGTAAACTGTGAAAGTTTAGGGGGAAAAATGTGTAAAAGATTAGTTAAGTAGGGTATATTCACATTTCTGCTCAAATGCACACCTTTAGAAATATTTTCTCTGCTGTTTATTTTGGTACATTTGGATTTAGGGATGCACAATATYTCTGCATTCATATGGGTATCGGCCGATATTGGTCATTTTTAGAATATCAGTATCGGTCCGATGTGTAAAACAATATTAACGTCCAAAATTGATTTTCCCCTTTTTTCTTTTTTCAAATCCATCATGTACCCAGAATGCATCGCTTCAGTTTTCCAATAAATAGTTTTTAAATTACTTTATTGATGCTTCTTTACTGAAAAATCTACAAAAAAAAAAGACAAAGAAGCAGCCAAACTAGCAATCCTCAACAACTTTTTAATTTTTACACCAGGAGCTAAAGGTCTGTTTCAGGAACTCACATTCCCAGCAATCGGCGGTTGTAGGATTAAGATGTGAAAGGGTTCATACACTGCTAGTTGGCAGTGTTGTGCATATATTGTACATGAACTGTTGCCAGCTAGTAAGTGTCAAATTGAAGTTGCACTTTAAAATTAGCTTCTGCTAGTTTTTCTATGYCATAAGCGTTTTTGAAGTTGCGGACCTAAATATTTACATAAGCTCTTTAGAAATTGTGGAGCTAATTTTTGTATTAGCGCTGCCCGCTACTGTTGATCATGATAGTGATACTTAAGCTGTGTAGTCAGGAATAACTAAGTAGGGAGTCATGTCAGATGTCTGGTTGTTTATTTACTGTATCAAGAAAATACCCAAGTGTGTTTGTGCGTATATGTGTAATATATAATTTGTGTGTTTGTGTAATATCGATAAATATCTGTTATTGGCCATAACAGCAATAATTATATCGGATATCGATATCGGCTGAAATTTTCATATTGGTGCATCACTGTTTGGATTCATTTGTAAAAGGTCAGAAAACCACTCAATGCTTAAAACAACATGGACTACAATATGTGGTCAATGCAGATTCTGTGGAATGAAGGTTTCTAAACTATTATGGGATATGTCTGTTTTTGGCATAGCTTCCTGGAACTTTGAAGGTAGTCTGCTGATAGCTGGCTCCAGTCCACTTTCCCCCGTCAAGGTGGGCCAGCTGTAGCTAGAGGACAGTTCTGAAGACGTAGTCAAAGTTGACTATCTCTAACTCAGCTGAGAAGCTTTAGATCAGTAGCTCAGAGTAATTAAAACCTTCAGTTCTTCCATAAAATGTTTTCAWATCTGGAGATTTATGAGTCATACAGAGAGATTTACTTCAGCTATATATTATTACTGTATTGTTATGTTGCTGCTGTGTGTGTGTGTGAACGGGTTTTTCCTACCACGTAGCGACAATTTTCCCAACAAATAAAAGCAGCCTCGTGGGGACCAATGCCCAGTCCCCACGGGTCCAAATGCAAATTACAGGTGTGGGGTTAGGTTTAGGACCAAGATTTAGGTTAGTTTTAGGGTCAGATTAAAATTAACCTGTGAGGTTAATTTTAGGGTTAATGGTCAGGATTAGGATATAAAATCACCAGAAAATGAATGGAAGTCAATGGAAAGTCCCCACAAGGATAGAGAGACATACAGTGGGGAGAACAAGTATTTGATACACTGTTGATTTTTCAGGTTTTCCCACTTGCAAAGCTTGTAGGTGACTGTAATTTTT